TACAAACGAGGCATTTGTTGCATCCAGTGGGGACATAATTACTGATTATAATGACTATATACCATGATGAATATACTGTCTTTTTACGGGTTGCGTTGCATTGCATCGCGCCGCGTAAACTATTCACCATGAGCTTGTAACACTCCAAAGAGAAAGGAAAAATTGAAATCGCATCATATGACCCCTTTAAGAATTGTATTACTTCAAATCATGAAAAAATAATTTAGACTGATTTTATTTTATTTGTTTAAAAAAATTATTAATTGAAAATAATTTGATTCACTCAAAAGAGTGATTTGATTCACAAATGGAACATTGCTACTTTTCTCATTCTTTTGCCATGTAGAGCTAGGGCAGATGTCAAAATTTTCAAAGAATAACAGTTTGTGTTTTGGTTTGTTTTTCACACAAAGCTATTGTATGGCTTCATAAGAGTTGTATGGAACACTTTAAAGGCTACGTTCACACTGCAGGCAAATGTGGCCCAAATCCGATTTTTTTGCTCACATGTGACTCACATCTGTTTTTCTCATGACAGTGTGAACAGCACAAACCACATGGAATCTGATCTTTTCAATTCCGATTTGTGCCACTTCCATATGTGGTACTAAATCCGATACAGGTCAGATGTTTTGGAATGCGACCGCACGGTGAACAGTCATATCGGAATTCATGTGACTTTTAGGTCACTCTAGATCAACATTCTGTGCTCATGGGAGTCACTTCAAAGATTTTACATACCCAAAGCTATCAAGACAGTTGCGAAAGGTAGTCAGTGGAAGTACAGTGACGTGTCAGAACTCATAAGTAGTAAGTAAGTCATAAGTGACAACTATATACAAGCAAAACATCAGGGCTCATATCATAAAAGTTTCAAAACTCTGCTCTCTTCTGTCAAATCATTGTCTTTATTTTTCATATTGCCTGCACATAATTTCGCTGGCTTCTGCAGCAGATCGCACTATAAATAAACGCATAATCGCTTACTTTATGTCCTCTGTGTTTACTTCCATATGACACAAGTGTTGCCAAGTCCACAGTTTTCCCACAGAATTGGGAAACTTTTTCATCGTTGCCGCGCGGGTGGTTTTTCAACTCCGTGGGTTAAAGTGACTAACGCAATATATAACCAACAGAAAGTGATTGGGCTAGTTTTGGACTAGTTTTGAGAAGCAGTTGGGCAGATTTGTTTTGTGAAAACCTGGCAACCCTGTTCATATTGTTCTTTTGCACATGCGGGTCAGTTCAGAACCATGATCTGTTCACACTGGAAATCTGATATTGGCCACATTTAATACAACAATGTAAGCAGCTATACAAAAAAAATCGTATCTAAGCAAAAATTGAGCACTAAGGCTCGCAGTGTGAACATAGTGATACAAAGATATCACTTAGTGATGGTGACAATCCAGCACTTGAAGTCTGAAAACCAGTCAATATTTTACACTAAAGCAGATCTGCTATAGAAAAAGCTTTGCTTCTTTTTTTAATCAATATCCAGGCTTTAAAGATCGTAGGTTGTAGAATAAATTGTTCAGTAATAAGCCTCTGTCTTCCCTTCTAGCATGTGGACATCGCGGCCCTGCTGATCAAGTATAACACCTGTGTAAATGCCACTGATAAATGGGCCTTCACACCCCTTCATGAAGCTGCGCAGAAGGGCCGCACACAGCTCTGTGCTCTGCTGCTGGCCCACGGGGCTGACCCCACCATGAAGAACCAGGAGGGCCAGACGCCACTGGACTTGGCGACGGTAATAAACACATACCTCTTACACGGATTCACATTTATGTACAGTCAAGCCCACATTTATATACTGCCATTCATTTAACATAGCTACAGATTTGAAAATATAGACATTCCCCAGTTTAAATCCAACTTCTATAAAAGTTTCATGCTCTGCAAGACTATTTGTTCTGGCTGTAAGGTCCCATATGGTTCAGGTAGCATAGACTATCCTGAGAAATTGGGACATTTATCTTCTAAACACATAAGCAGAGGTGTTTAAACCCATGCCCCCTGTGTTCAGGCTTGTGCGAAGCAAATGGTAAATCTGCCGTGACCTTTAGTAATTGGGCTCTGGTGGCTGTGTTCATGCCAGGTGCTAATGACACAGCTGTTCTCAGCTTTTATTGTCCAATTCTAGACCAAGAAGCCAAACTAATGCTTTGTGCAACTACTTTCTAATTTATCCCCTCACCCATGTGGCGTGGTACTCTAACATGAATATTAGATGAGTCTAAGTTGTATTTAAAACTGATCAGACACAGAATTCTTACTCAAGTGTTGATTTTTCCCCCTTTACTTTTGCTTATTTTATTTTATTTTATTGATTTTCAGGCTGATGATATCCGGGCGCTGCTGATTGATGCCATGCCTCCTGAAGCGTTGCCTAGTTGTTTTAAGCCCCAGGCTACAGTGGTCAGTGCTTCCGTCACCTCTCCATCATCCACACCTTCCTGTCTGTCTGCCGCTAGCAGCATAGACAATCTGGCCGGGCCCCTGGCAGAGCTGGCCGTACCTGGAGCCTCAGGCCCTGCTGATGGGGCTACTGGATCAGAGAGGAAGGAGGGAGAAGGTGAGTAGATCATGTGATGTGACTTAAAATTATAAAGTTAAAGAACTTTATATTGTAAGTAGGGCTGCAACAACTATTCATTTTTTTTTATAAAACGTGTTGTTGGATATAAAATAGTATTAGTTTAAAATGAACTGAAATCAAAATGATTTTAAGAAATGATGCAAGTTGGAATGCTAACAATATTTTATAAGAACAGTAACTGAAGAGTGAAAAATTTAAGGGGGTCTGAATACTTTCCGTACCCACTGTATATACCTGAGCTTATGCATTATTTTATAGGCCTAGTCTTTTATATTTGTATTTATAATCTTCAGTTTGCACATTGTTTTGGAGGACAATAGAGTGCATGATGACAGCATTTTGTTTTAGAAAATGCTGGAAAAATAGGCTTTTATTCCATTAATCTAAAGAAAATTGTTGCTAGATTAATCAGTAATAAAATGACATTTAGTTGCAGCCCTAAGGGTAATCATGCCGTAAATGTAGGACAATAGTTTTATTAGTTATGATGTTTTTTTTCTATAGTTACAATTCTGGATATGAACATCAGTCAGTTCCTGAAGAGTTTGGGTTTGGAGCATTTGCGGGATATTTTTGAGCGGGAACAGGTAAGGTCACTTCCTAGGATCAAATCAATCTCAGTCATCTCAATCTCATCAGTTCCACTCCACACATTAAATTGCCAGCTGTCCTGTGTAGAGAGGCCTGCCGTTGTTTCCCGTAGAGAACTCCAGGTCCTTCTCGTCAACGTTATGTAAATGCGATGACATCTGTGGCCTCGTAATTATCTCCTTTCAATATACTCTCTCTCTCTCTCTCTCTCTCTCAGCACCTTGGCTTTATCATTTCCAGCCAACTCCTCTTCAGCCGGACGCTGTGAGATTACTAACGTCTCTCGAACTGTATAGGTGTGAGAGAGATCCTGGCGCTGACCTCTGCGCCCCTTCTTTTGATTAATACGGTCATGCCACTCGCTCACACTGAGCTCAGGACTCTGTTGTTCCTCTGGCTTTCCTCCTCCATGAGGGCGAGCCCGTGGGATGCGATTGGCATACTGCGCCAGACCCGCCGCTCATTTGCACATAGATGAACAGAAATGGTCTTGGCGGCCACCAGCTGGGAAGAGCGCTTGATGTGAGGGGCTGAAATCAGTTGTGATTGTGGCTTTCGTAAGATGCATTCATCTGTCTCACAGTGTCTCTTATTCTGCAACGCTGTGCCTACGGGAGATGGAGCATGAAGAGGCAACAGTTTTTCAGAGAAGTGTGAAAGACTGAGTGCAAACGAGATTGAGGACGTGCTCACAGATCTCATACACGCACCAATGTCGTCATTAGACATTTCTGGTTTTAACCTTAGAGCAGTTTAGAGCCATCTCCTCAATTGACTACTGCCGTCACAAGGGCGTTTTGCTAATATTTGTCTCATTTAGATGTCTGTAGTATGTCTGCTGCATTTCCACTTCCCTTAGACATTTTAGTTTTTATTGTTCATCAGCTAGGAAAAAAAGGTTCCACAATTGATTCTAGTGAATATATATATATATAAATATATATATAAGGGATAATGTATGGCTAGCTGTGCATTAAATTATTTTAATGCATGACGTGGAGACAAAGAACCACCCGACGCGAAGCGGAGCCACCCGTGCATTATCCTGCTTATACCATGGTCATTTGCCAGCATTGACGATTTAAAGCTGTTAATGATATTTGCAGTGCAATATTTGACTGGAAGTGTAAAAATGACAGTTATTTTCATCAGTTATGGCTCGTTAACTCTAGCATTCTGCCCGCTTCAAATCAGACAGAGAGATGAAATAGTGCAGTAAGACCACATTTATTTGAATGAATGAATTCTAACATTTATTTGAATTAATTAGCGATCGGGAGAGAGAGAGAGAGAGAGAGATGACAGTTGTATATGTGTGTGTGTGTGTGTGTGTGTGAGTTACCTGCTCTGTGTGTCTCTCTCTACAAACAATGAAGTTGTGTTATGTTACTTCAAAAAACGCTATTTTACCACCTCGTTGCTGAGGAATATAATGTAGCGATCCGGTGTCTAGGCTGTTTTATTTTATTTTGTGGGGCAGCGTTGACGGTAAGTTTCTGTGCTCCTGAAGTGTGTGTGTGTGTGTGTGTATCAATTAAAGCAGTGCATTAATATAGAATGGTGATTAAACTGATTTGGAGCTACCTGTGCATTAAACGGTTTTAAGGGATACCTGCCAGCCAATCAGAATTGAGTATTCAGACAGCTCATATATATATACAGGTGCATCTCAATAAATTAGAATGTCGTGGAAAAGTTCATTTATTTCAGTAATTCAAC